AAATTGGACTCGGAAATGGACTTGGTAAAAGATTGTATGGTTAAATTTCTGCTTATTTAAAGGATCATACACAAGAAAGATATATTATGGTATGGAGAAGATGGATAGATTATATTCAGACTAAATATGGAACTAAAAAGTTCCATTTATTTTATGATTAAATTTTAAATAATTATTATTATAGTATTTTATAATGAGAATTATTTAGTTCATTTATTGTTATTATGGTATTTTATAATAATTGTTTTAAAATGGATTTGTTTATAATATTATGACATTAAGGTTTAAAGGGAGTTAGGGGTTATTTATGAATTTGGTTATTGTATAATTTGTTAAATTTATAATAATAATAATAGTAGTAAAGTTGGAAGGGACCTTGGAGGTCATCTAGTCCAACCCCCTGCTCGGGCAGGAAACCCTACACCATTTCGGACAAATGGCTGTCCAGTCTCTTCTTAAAAACTTCCAGTGTTGGAGCATTTACTGCTTCTGGAGGCAAGCTGTTCCAATGATTAATTGTTCTCACTGTCAGGAAGTTTCTCCTTAGTTCTAGGTTGCTTCTCTCCTTGATTAGTTTCCACCCGTTGCTTCTTGTCCTGCCTTCAGGTGCTTTGGAAAATAGCTTAATTCCCTCTTCTTTACGGCAGCCCCTGAGATATTGGAATACTGCTATCATGTCCCCCCTTGTCCTTCTCTTCGTTAAACTAGACATACCCAATTCTAGCAACCGCTCCTTATATGTTTTAGCCTCCAGTCCCCTAATCATCTTTGTTGCTCTTCTCTGTACTCGTTCTAGAGTCTCAACATCTTTTGTACATCGTGGTGACCAAAACTGGATGCAGTATTCCAAGTGTGGCCTTACCAAGGCATTGAAGAGTGGTATTAATACTTCACGTGATCTTGATTCTATCCCTCTGTTAATGCAGCCTAGCACTGTGTTGGCCTTTTTGGCAGCTGCAGCACACTGCTGGCTCATATTTAAATGATTGTCTACTAGGACTCCGAGGTCCCTCTCACAGTTACTACTACTAATTAGATTTTGTTTAATATGTTTGTAATAACCCTGTACTCGGCTCTGGGAAGTGGGGGGGGTAGGGGGTGGGGGTGGATGGGTTTGGGGAAAATAATTTTGTTAATTGTTAATAAAACTTTTTTAATAAAAAAAATATTATTTTGATAAAAAAAGGCTGCAGTGACACAAAGGATCCCGTGTTCTGGTCTCATCTACAGAAGAATGAGGCCAGAGAAAATGGAACATTTCCCCCCTTCCCCCCCCAAAAAATGAATTTAGCAACATTTCAAAAATAAGACAAAATATCAATGCCTTATTTGAATTATAGCAGGAAAACAAAACCAAGCAACTACAACTAGATGTGTATATTTCTACCGTAAACACTGGAGTACAATTATATTATTATTATTGTTGTTGTTGTTGTTATTCTAAGCAGCATCCAACAAGTGTAATTTAATTATACTTTCAAAATGTCTCATGCTCCTGGGCTCTTTTTTATTATAAATTATAGGCTCCTGGATAACAGCAACTCATGTGTACTCCTTCCACAACTCAACATAGAAATATTAATTCCTAAACATTCAACTTGTTTAAGAATTATAGAGATTTCCATTGTTTGAATGTTCTGGTGTACTGTACTATCAAAATAGAAGTTCCTGATTCATTTCCACCCTTTTACATGAGGCCCAATAACAAATGACTGGTAATCAAGTTTCGTTGGTTAATATCTGAAGGCATATTTTTAACTTGGCAGGAGAAAAAATACAAGATAGATACACTTGAGAAAGCACAGGACTTTTATGAGAGTTACTTTTCACAAGGAGAAGAACAAGAAAGTAGGGAAGAACTGGAGAGTAAAAGTTATGATGAAGATCTATTAGAGGAAGTAGAGAAATACAAAAGTTACAAGAAAGAGAAAGGTTAGAAAGAGAAGCAAAAGGAAGACTTATAGAGACAAGGAGTACAAAACAAAATAAAAACAAAAAAATAGGTCAAGTTAAAAATGGGAGACATAATTAAGCTCTTTTCTATAATATCAAGAAAAAGAGTTTAGACGTTTAACAATTTAAGGAAATTAGATGTAGATGTGATGTATTTTTAGGAAGTTTACATAAAATAGGATTATAGGAAATTACTAGAGAAAGTAAAATTTAGAAACATACACAATATTAGCATAAAACAAGAAAGGAGGAATTATTATATATGTCAAAGAAAAATAAAATTAAATAAATACACTTGGATGAAAAGGGGTGAATTTTAATGTTGGAAATAGTATTAGAGTAGAAACAGTATATGTATTAAATAATATGAGAATATTTGTATGATCATCATGCTTAGATGGAATTCCGGTCGAGTCTTATAAAAAATATGAGTGTTACTACAATGAATAATTTTGGATTCCTAGTAAGTAGTTGAATATGAAAGAAGGAAAATGTAAATAAGAAACAATGGGGCAATAAGGACAAATATTTCAAAAAAGAAAGAGAAGGGAAATGTAAAGAATAGAAGAGTACTGTTACAAACTGCTGTTAACAAAAAAGGATATATTACATGTGTATGTGTGCAATGTTTGATGTGTTTTGTTTTGTTTTGTTGGTCTAAAATAATAAAAATTAAAAAAACAACAACAACAACAAAAAACAAATGACTGGTAACTATTCTATGAAAAAGGAAACACTAGACCTACAATAGACCGCATACCATATACAGGTAGTCCTCAGCTTACAACAGCTCGTTTAGTGGCCATTCAAAATTACAACAGCACTGAAATTTATGTAATTTATGACCGTTTTTCACACTTATCACCATTGCAGCATCCCCATGGTCACATGATCAAAATTCAGACATTTGGCAACTGACTCATATTTATGACGGTTGCAGTGTCCCGTGGTCATGTGATCACTTTTTGCAATCTTCCATCAAAGTGAATGGGAAAGCCAGATTAATTTAACAACTGTGTTACTAACTCAACTGCAGTGATTCACTGGCAAGAAAGGTCATAAAATGAAGCAAAATTCATTTAACAAATATCTCACTCAATAACAGAAATTTTGGACTTAATTGTGGTTGTAAGTCGAGGCCTACCTGTTTAATTTTGCAAATCATAAGGCTCAAATGAAATTAAAATGGTTCAATTTTCTGAGTTCTTATAATTGCAAAATTTTATGTTGCGAAGAGGTCCCAGAGAAACAAAACAGACTTGTATGATAACCAATACCGCCCTGTTCAAAGGCTTAATCACCATAATTTACACAATTGGATGTACCGTGAACATATTCCTGTAAGAACATATTCTTACAGGTAAGAATATGATAGCAGCAGTGGGGTTTTTTGCCTTTACCACACATGATCATTTGCCCATCTATATTCTCCATTTATACAATATACACAGTAGGTACTTTTTGGACAGTTGGGAATAGAGATGAGGTCTGTGCAGCCTTGCAGATTCAAAAAGCAAAATGGGATTTGGAGTACCTATTCAGAACAGTTCAAGACACCATGTCTCACTGGACTCACCCAAAGTGCCTTTCACAGATGCCATATAATCCCAGGAAAAGGTGCACTTGATTTAATGGGTTTCCATCATGTGCTCCATGCATATCCCACATGTAACAAATCATATTTTGCCCTCTGAATCTGGATTACTGTGTAGCCCTAGTAGAAGCATCCATAAATGCAGTTTACAAGTGCATAAGAAATATGTAAACAACACATATACTGGAGGACACCTGGCCCATCCCACTAATGCAGGGGTGTCAAACTGCCGGCTCATGGGCCAGATGTATCACGCAGAAGCTGCACCCACCCCAGCTCCGGCAAGGGGAAAAAAGTCATGATACGTTGCAACACGTCACATGACGAATTTAACACCCCTGTACATTACAGAACCATGAAGAGTGTTTTAATTTTGCTGGAATAATACAAAGGGAGACATATGAGAGAATACACTCTTATTACTGATCTTCCTCCTGTTTACCTTTCTTCTATATACCCTGATCTCCAAAGATCTATAGGACAACAAAGATCATGTCAGATGTCATTATGTCATAAGAATAATAAAGGTTTTCCCTCACTAGTTTTTCTTTAGACAATATGTCACAAATCAGAAATAATAGGCTATATGGCCTTAGATGTAATTGGTACCATAATACATTTGATTATTTTGTGGAGGATAAAAAAGGACAACAGAACCTTTTTCACAATTTGATGATAACTGATCTAATAGCATGGGAAATACAATGCAATAGTACAAGTCTGTTATATGTTTCTTATTAAAACCACCATTGTTAAGAATATGACTTCATTTGAAATCAAGAAAATGTATGTTAAAAAATATAATTTAACACTACATTAATTTCAGATATAATTAATGCCTAATTAAAAAATAAGAGAATCAGAAAAAATGTATTCTTGCCAATAACATACAGTATATTGCACTTAAAATATTCATTAAAACATTATTAGAATATAGATTACAGTGAGTGAACCCTAATATAAGTTTTAGTTTACATAATAAAAATTGTTTTTATTAATGATGTTGCAGCTTACATTTTAAAATATCTCCTTAATTTAGAATACGTTTATACTACTTTATAGTAGTTGTGTGTGTGTGTGTATATCTCACAGTATATGGTGCATTCCAACAGAAAGGCACAATTATCAAACAAATAATACAGTACATGGAAATAAGTGGTCTGTGTTCACACATTAAAATATGGAGTACAAAAAAGGCTCTAAAGCTATCAGGTGCTGTAAGCCAAATTTCATTAAATTTTAGGTTTATTAGCATAGCTTCCTTTCTGTGTGTAAAAAAAAAATAGGTGGAAAAAATAGGTGGAAAAAAGGGGGAAAAGCTTTTTCGTTACAATATAACCATTTGTGGTTGAGGGATATGACATGACTTTAATTGACCATAGACAGAGCTTCTGGATCAGCTGTAAACATAATTGCTTTAACATATTTAAGTAAAGAGAAAATGGTTCATTTATAGTCTGAAGCGTATTTATGCATACACACAAACCAATTAGTTATTTATAATGTTGTTACAATGATAAGATTAGAAATGGCCTTTCACAAGGATCTGAATCTATAAGATTTTTAACCAGTATCAAAGATTTTAGCTCACTGCCTGCAGCATATAATTTTTGCAGAGGCAATACCATAGCACTTCTCAAAAGGTATACCATCTCTCGCATAGATCAACTGTCCATCATTGTTTCCGTATGAAGAAAACACTAACATGAAGACAGTCCAATTAGGCAAAATAAGAAAGGAACAAAGAAAGCCACTGAGAATCCCATTGTTCCATAAGTAATATAGCGATAAGGCAATTCAACTCCCATGTGTTGTCGGGCTTCTCGAACATCTGCACTAGAAACACCAAAGACTTTACAGGCCAATGGAATGGTGACCTTCTTCATGATCATTCTCACCAGCAACAGAAAAACTAATCCAATCAATAATCGCAGAGCAGCCTTTCCAAAGAGATTTACTGTGAGGGAGGGAACTAACGGAAGCATTTCTTGTGGAGGATCTGGCATTAGATTCAGCCTATAGCTAACATAGGAGCCACAGGCAATTCCAGCACCACTGCCCAAGATCTGAGCTGTATCTCCTCGGGATGTGCTCCACGTATCTAGAGTGAAGGAAAACACCCCCAAAGCCAGATGAAAACTGACAATGATTAGTGGTGCATATGTGAAAGTTAAGTTGAAATTATCAACTAGATCCACAGTTGGAAGGAAGACGACCAAGATGAGAAGAGCATAAAGAAAACCAGCAATAACATCCTGTTGCAAGAGAGAGAGAGAAATAATTAATAACATATATGAATTGTGAGTTTTAATTAATATAAATTAGATATTTTCAAAATATATTTCCTAGAAAGCTATTCAGAAATGATACTGAAATTACACATTAAAAACAAAGGAAAGAGGAATAGATTACAGTGTGCACTCATGTTCATTATAGAAAAATGTGTTTTTCCCAACATAGAACAATTACAGTAAGTATCCTTTTGGAGGAGGATTTTAATATACAGTACCTGACAGTTACTGGGTTAGAACAGTAATGCTATTTATTCAGATAAATGAAGCATTTGTGGAACAAGGTCACAATAGAGCTTCCACATCCCTGAAGATAACTTTCCTGCATAAAATTTAAATAATCTCAACCATGCCATGTCTCTAGTTACTATGAGAAATCTCAAAATGTGTGCATCTAGGCCAGGGGTAGGCAACCTTGGCTCTTTTAGCTGGCTCAGGAATTCTGGGAGTTGAAGTCCACGAGTCATAAAAGAGCCAAGGTTGACTACCCCTGATCTAGGCAGAAGTTTATTTCCCCAACAACATTACTCAAAATCCAGAGTGTAGGGTGCAGTCCCTGTGTGCATAGCTAGCTGTTCATGACAGAAAGGAGCTTATATTTATTTGAGGAAGGAACAGCAAGAGCCTCAGGATATCAAATGAGAACAAAGAAGTAGTAAGAAGAAACTCTTCCTCCAAAATTTCAGAGAGTTGCTGCAAAAGAATTAATAGATTAATACAAATACAAAAATGAGTTGGACAAACTTTATAGATAAAATGAGTGACAGAACTTTATGTACAAAAATGAGATCAAGATAAATCAATTTCTTTTAAAAAAAATGACATATAATTCTGTTGGCATTTTATATTTTCTCTACTACAGGTAGTCCTCGACTTACAATGAAGTTATGATGGACCCCTCCCCCCAAAAGCTACTCACGACTTGGTTTCAGAGTTAAAGCCGCTGCAGTGTCCCTGCGGTCACGTGAACAAATTGTGTGCTTGGCAAGCTGCCTACCCTTACAAGTGATCTCAGGGACATTGTATCACACCTCTGGCTATCTCCCTCCGTCCTGCCCCTTTAGGTCCCCATAGGCCTTGGGCATGGTTCCTATCCTGCTGGGTCCCACACTCTTCTCCCCACCTCCTCTGTCACCAATCAGTCACTTACCGTTACTGCAGATTTCCTACTAAAAGCAGTTGCTACTCTGCACTATACAGTGCTACTCCTATACAGTGGAGGTCACATGGCTGTCCTGGAAGCAGGCACCATTTCAGAGCAGCCTCGATGAATCCAGGGACACCAAGGGGAAAGGAGGCCTGCTCTTCATCCCCAATTCAGTCTCTGTAGCTCCAGAGACAGTAGGATGGGAAGCAGACCCAAGGCCTGTAGGGTCACTAAGAGCTGGAAAGTGGGGTATGGGGTGCCTCAGGGGGTAGGGGAAGCACTGGGAGGCCCGGGGCAGGGCTGTACTAGGCTTCCAGGTCTGTCCCTGTCCCTGAGGCACCCCTTGCTCACTCAGTGACTGCACTGGGAAGAACAGGGAGGGGGTTGTTAAGCGACAAAATCACGTGGGTGCCTTTGTTTAAGGACCGTCACAATTTGCAATGGCACGCTCCATAATAGATGTAAGTAATACAAGTAAGACTACCCATATTCATATACAAACTGAATAAAGAAAGAAGAGCCTGATTCCAGGAATTCTTTCCAACCTCTTTAGAGGTAATGGCCAGAAGAAGTCCCATATTTTCTTCTGTGTAACAAAGAAGTGTGTGGCATCTATGTCTATGTGCATATTTCTGCTTTCCTCTAACTTTGCACTTGTGGATGTGTTTGCACTGGGAAGTAAAGAGCTACCAGTCTCTTCAAGATAATGCAGATCAGGAAATAGATTCTACAGGATGACCAAAGCTATACAGGTAGTCCTCAACTTACAACAGTTCATTTAGTGACCGTTCAAAGTTACATCACTGAAAAAAGTGACTTATGGCCGTTTCAAACACTTATGACCATTGCAGCATCCACATGGTCATATGATTAAAATTCAGATACTTGGCAACTTATTCATATTTATGACTTTTGCAGTGTCCTGGGATCACGTGATCACCTTTTACGACCCTCTGACAAGCAAAGTTAATGGGGAAGCCAAATTCACTTAAATGTGCTACTAATTTAACTGCAGTGATTCACTTAACTGTGGCAAGAAAGTTCATAAAATGGGGCAAAAATCACTTAACAAATGTCTCACTTAGCAACATAAATTTTGGGTTCAATTGTGGTCATAAGTCAAGGACTACCTGTATTTGATTGAAACAGTTATGACAGAAATGGGCAATTCTCCCTAGGGAGCGGAGGGGGAGGGAGGCAGTTTGAATCTGCTTCCAATAAATTTGTGCCTCTGGATTTAACACACGTCTTCTGCACCTGATATTTCCCTAATGGCCCCCAGACTCCTCCTTCAAGATCAACTCCCTGACTCCCTATAAGGGCAGGCTGCAGATGCTCCCGAGTCACATGAATGGAATGGAATGGAGCCATCAACAATGTTCTGAACTGCTACCTACCGGTTCTTTCTTAGGGATACACTGCAGGAATCTTTGCTGGATTATTTTTTCTCTGCAACTCCAGCCAAATCTAGTCCATTTTTTAGTATCATCCTTCATTTAACAACTTGTCCTTCTTTGAACAGGAAGAATATCATCATTAGTCTACCTTCTTTTAAAAAATGGGGGGGGGGAATATAATACATTGGGGGAAAGGCTGCATTTACAAAGGATAATCCAATGCAATGCACACATTTCCGTCCAAAATGACAGAAAGGATTACATAACCTGTTAACAAATAAATTATCCCTGTGAAAAAGAGATGGAATGAACTTGACTACTAAGATAGTTTAGATCTGCATCTCAAAAGGATCTAGAAAAGGAAACAAACTCCAGATTAAAAATTATTACACAAATTATGTTTGAGTTCATGTGTACACTGTGTGCATAATTATTAGGTAAGTGAGTATTTTGACCATATCATCATTTTCATGCATATTTTCCACCTCCAAGCTGTATAAACTTGAACGCTTATTGGATATAAGCATATCAGGTGATGTGTATTTGTGTAATGAGGGAGGGTGTGGCCTAAGGAGATCAACACCCTATATCAAGGTGTACATAATTATTAGGCAGCTTCTTTTCCTCAGGCAAAATGGGCCAAAAAAAGAGATTTAACTCACTCTGAAAAGTCAAAAATTCTAAAAACTCTTTCGGGGGATGCAGCACTCTTGAAAGGGTGGAGTGAAAGTGAAAGTTCTGGAGTGCCCAGAACTACAAGGGGTTCGGTGCTCAGAGACATGGCCAGGGTAAGGAAGGCTGAAGCCTGACCACCAATGAACAAGACATATAAGTTAAAACGGCAAGACTGGGCCAAGAAATATTTGAAGACAGATTTTTCGAAAGTTTTATGGACTGATGAGAGTGACCTTTGATGGACCAGACAGATGGGCCCGTGGCTGGATCAGTAACGGGCACAAAGCTTCACTTTGATTCAGACACCAGCAAGGTGGAGGTGGGGTACTGGTATGGGCTGGTATTATTAAAGATCGGCTAGTTGGACCTTTTTGGGTTGAAGATGGACTCAAAATGAACTCCCAACCTACTGTCAGCCTTCCTTACCTTAGTCATGTCTCTGAGCACTGAACACCTTGTAGTTCTGGGCACTCCAGGTAGGTTGCAGTTCTGGAATATTACAACACTGAAGGATAAAGGGTTTTTTGTAGCTTTACGTTTGATTCTTCTCAAATCTTTGGCAGTTAATGTGCATCTTCTTTTTTTTCAACACATTTCTTGCAATCCTGTTGACTATTTGCAACAAAACATTTGATGTTCTGTGATCACGCCCCAATATCTTAGCAATTTCAAGAGTGCTGAAAGACTTTTTACAATTTTTGACTTTTCACAGTGAGTTAAATCTCTTTTTTGGCCCATTTTGCCTGAGGGAGAAAAAGCTGTTAAATAATTATGCACACCTTGATATAGAGTATTGATCTCCTAAGGCCACACCCTCCCTCATTACACAAATACATATCACCTGATATGCTTATATCCACTAAGTATTCAAGTTTATACAGCTTGGAGGTAGAAAATATGCACAAAAATCACTTGCCTAATAATTGTGCACACAGTGTATGTTATCCATGCACATATATTAGGAAAAATGTTTAAGTCTATATTATATGTGCTTGTAGTCAAGATTTTGGCTGTTTTAAGCTTCTTTAATTCAGGGAATCAAATAAGTTGGATAGACTTCTGAAGTCAATGCAATCTCTTTCATTGATGTGATAAAACAAGGATTTGTTCAAGTTGAGCTCATACAGTCCTCGACTTAAAGCAATTTAATGACCGTTCAAAGTTACAATGTGACTTATGACCGTTTTTCACATTTATGACCATTGCAGCATCCCCACGGTCACGTGATCATAATTCGGATACTTGGCAACTGGCATGTACTTATGATGGTTGCAGTGCCTGGGGTCATGTGATCCCCTTTTGTGATCTTCTGACAAGCAAAGTCAATGGGGAAGCCAGATTCACTTAACAACTGTGTTACTAATTTAATAACTGAGTGATTAACTTTTCAACTGTGGTAAGAAAAGTCATAAAATGGGATAAAATACACTTAACAAATGTATCGCTTAGCAACAGAAATTTTGGGTTCAAAAGTCGAGGACTACCTGTATACTGTTTGTAGAAACAACACAGAAATGGTTTCTCAGTGCCTTTTCTTTTCTTCCTCATTTCTCAATTTTGTCCCAATGCCAGTATACTAACTGAATACTAACCACATCCAACCTGTCTAGCCTTTTCAAGATCAGTTAAGGTAGTTGCTGCAACCTGATACAAAATGAGACATTCTGGCTCTATCAGAGCAATAAAGGGAAACCCCAGCCAGAGAATGAAAAGAAGGCCAAAACAGGAAGGAATATGTGCTTCCGTGCTCCATGCAACATAACTTGTTTGACTGTAAAGAAAATACTCTGCAGGTGTCTCCAGCCTAATCGTAGTCAGCATGATTATTTTCTGCCTGTCCACTCCACCAATGGAGCATCAACCAGCTTCCATCTGTAGTTTTGGATCTTCAGCCTTGAAATGGTGCAAAAGGGGAAATTGCTTCCTCTACAGCAGAAGATGGAGCTAAGACCGAGAAGGAGTGCTTAGCCTCTTAGTTTCAAAGTTTACAACTTGAACTGGCTAGGGAATTCTGAGAATTGAGTCCACACATCTTAAAGTTGCCAAGGTGGATTAAACTAATCTCCAATTACCAAATGATCAAGTATATGTTGCTGTAAGAGATATCATCATCATTGTCTTTGACCGCAGAGCATAAGCTGACATACTTTTTCAGAAAAGTATGTATTATAATACAACCATTATTTAATATTAAAATAGTTTTTAGAATTTATGACTTTTTCTTACCAGAACTGAATGCATTCCCATATATACTCGACTGAAACAAACCAGAGAAGACCAGCAAATTGTGAGAATTAGCCCGTACATGAAAGGATACTAAGGAAAGAAAAACAAGAGTTATTTGCAACTGAACTTTTACAATACATGGACACCATCATTCAAAATAGTAACTTACAATACAAACATAAAATACAGTCATCATACGCTTTTTTCATTTGTTCGTCCTCAATTTCAAATTTCAGCACATTCAATACACATGTTGACAATTACATCTTCATCATTTGTACATATTCTGTGCTCAATTCCAAACCTCCAGCTATCAACTTTGAATTTTTCTCTAAACTGTGTGTATAAAAACTGCTGAAAACTCAATCCCTCTGTAACCAATTGTTCTCTTGGTTTCATTTTACAATATAATCTCAATCTCTGCTACTTTGATGTAGGTAGACAACAATCCGACTGTTGCAAGTGAAAAACGATAAAGACTGCTTTTTTGGAATAGGCGAAGCTTTCTGCAGAGAAGTGTTTCTCAGTTAAAGGTAAATTTCTAACTGAAATCCAAATTTATTTGACCACTTTGTCTGATTTATTTTTACTTATGATCATTAATTATGTGCCATCAAGTCATTTTTGAGTCCTAATGGCCACATAGGTAATTCTCTCCATGATGATTTATCCCTAACCTGGCCTTCCAAGTCTCCCAATAGTGTACTCATTGCCACTGCTATTGAATCTGTCCGTCTTGCTGTTGGTCATCCTTTTTCACCCTCTTTCATTGTCTTAAAAGTCCTCTTTTATTATCATAGAAGTCATCAAATTCAACCTTGGTTCGAATGGAATAAGACTCCTGCTTTGAGCAGAGGGTTGGATTACAAGACCTCCAAGGTCTCTTCCAGCCCTCTCATTCAGAAAATAGGCAACAAGAGCCATACAATTTGGCATAATTCTGAATGCATTCCCATATATATTCGACTGAAACAAACCAGAGAAGACCAGCAAATTGTGAGAATTAACCCGTACATGAAATAGAGAATGATTACAAACATACATTGCATCATTTACAAAGTCCATCCTGCTTGTCTGCATCTGAAATCATTTTAGGACTTGTTAGAACACTCCACCACTTCTTTAGTATTATGTTGCTTCACAATCTGCTCTAATATTAACAGACTGTCCTGCTTTCAAAATCTTGGATTTGTAACACATCTCTCCATAAAGAATAAGTAACTATGACTTATGAGAAACCCAAGTACTAGAGCTAGTTAATACAGAACGTGACATGACCTCTGAAGGACTATTGCATGAAGAAGGCATATGATAGTTTCCTTCACATACCATATAATTAAAAAATAGTTATCGTAAGATAACTAAAAAGATCTAATTCATGGAGGATAAGATTATCTGACTAATGACTGCTCTCAATGCTACTCTTGGAAAGCAAAAAATGTTATTATATTCTTATTCTGCTTATGAGCATCTGATAAATATCTGATTTATCACTGAGTGTTGGACTAAAAAGACCTTTGGTCTGAGACAACAATAATGTTCTTATTACTGTTTGTGACCTTCCAAGGACAGACAGAAATGCCAGCTCAGTTAGAAAGCAATTATATGTTGAGGATTTTCAGACGTAGTATAGAAAATAGTATGTACTGGTAATAGTTCCTTTGGAAACTTCTACTGATCTGTCTCAGCTGCTGGTCCCTAATTTCCACCTTTTAGATTAAAATGTAATTCTGTGATAGCATATATATTGGCAATTTGTAGCTTTTCCTATATAAACTACCAAACCACCTAGCTAGTATTTGCTTCTATATCCCCTCATACTAATTTCTTCAGAGTTTAACATGGATTGGCATGGATTGCTTTCATTTCTTCTTTGAAGAAGTCATATATAAGTGTGTCAGGACACAGGCAATTGTAAAAGAAAAAATTAAGATAAGGGATAATGTGCACAAGATCAACAAGGCCGGATTGTACCCAGTTTAAAAAATTAAAACCTTGATCATATAATCACAGAGAAGAATTGAGAGAAGACATCTAGACCAGGGCTTTTCAATGGGTGGTACGCATACCACTTGTGGTACTTTAATGAGTGGCAGGTGGTACGCAGCACTGCCTAGCCAAGTGTAGTGGGGGAGGGAAAGAGCCAGCACAGGCAAGGACTTACTGTTAGAGAGTCCTCTGGAGCTGCAGAGTGGCTGGGGTGAGGCAAAGGCCCCAGGCTCACTTCTGGCTCACCCTCCCCCATGAGAAAGAAGGAGAAGGGGGATGGAGAGGCAGTTTGGGCAGGAGGCAGTTTGGGCAGGAGAGGGAGAGAGAGAGAAAGCAGCAGTCTTGGGAGGAGGCAGAGTCAGCTCTAGTTGCACGGAGGAAAAGGAGGATGAGGGGAGAGGAGAGGAAAGGAGAGGAGAGGAGATCAAGCAGATGAACCAATCTACAGCTGCTGTGGCAGGCACCTGTGCTGGCAGCAACAAACAGACAAGAAATGCAGTGGGGGCGGGGTCGCCCTCCAAGAGGAATGAAAAAAGGCAGCAATGGCTAGAGGTGAGGCAAGGAAGAGGGAAGGAGATGGAGAGTGGAAGGATTCTTACGTGCTTTTGTGACCTTGAAGTTCTGGGATTTGTGCAATGTGGGCTTTGTGTTCTTAAGGAGTATTTGGCAATTTCTATTTGGCTGATGGCTGATGTCTCCTGTTAGCTTCTATTGCTCTGCTGTTGTTAGCTGTAAGTTTTGCTGCAAGGGATTTTGAAGTATTTTTCGCCTGAATGGATTTTGCCTGTAGCATTCCTTTACTTGTGAATGGAGCCATTTGGGGAGGCTGCCTTAGCTGGCAGCCAGTACGCTGTGCTCCTTAACTTTCCTTTCTAGCCAGTAGCTAATTCTTAAAGGGGAATGTGCTTTTTTAAGCTAGTTCACTCAGCAGCTTGTCTTTTCTGTCTCTGGAGGGTTTTCCTTGTTTGATGAATATACGGAAGAGGGAAAATATGGGGGGGGGATGTTTCAAATTCTTCCTTCAGAAGGAGGTGGGCATGAGAAAGAGGGAGACAGGGAAGGAGGGCGGGAAGTCCCGCCTTAGCACTTGGCCACCAGCAGCCCTGCCATTGATTTTGCTTGTCAAAAGGTTGCAAAAGGAGATCACATGACCCTGGGACACTGTGACCATCATAAATATGAATCAGTTGCTAAGCATCCAAATATAAATCACATGACCCTGGGCATGCTGCAATGGTCATAAGTGTGAAAAATAGTTATACGTCATTTCAGTGCAATTGCAACTTTGAACAGTTTTTTTTTTTTTTTTTGGTCATCAAGTTTTTGACACCTTGCTGGATGATACTCGAATATTGCCATATCCTAAAAGTGGTACAATCGGTGAAAAGGTTGAAAAGCCCTGATCTAGACCATTGGAAACTACCGCATTATTTGTCAAGCGAAAATAATTGGTTTGGAAGTTTAGTACTTTAATTCTATTATGATTCTGAGCAGCATAAAGTATCAATTTAAAGTAAGAATGTATAAGCAATACCAAAAATGTCCAGGAAATAACACAGAACTCTGGCAAAACAATCAGCACAATATGTTCATTTAAATATAAATTCATTTTTAGAAGACTCTGAAACTTGTATTTCCATAAAGAAACAGAGGGCCCAGATAGATAAAAATATATGCTATTTCAGCAAAAAACAAAACAAAACAATAATCTTAAATCTTGGTTCATTTCCTACATCAAGGTTAACTAAAATTCATTGAAGAACACACAACTGACTGGATTTACACAAGCCTCAAATCATGGTTTAGAAACAAGTAAACATTAAGCCAAAACTAAACAAGCCACATTGTGGCTTATTTATTTATTTATGAGATTTATATACCGCTTTAAGTGCAAGCACTCTCTAAGCGGTGTACACCAGTAAGCAATGTATATATATATATATTTATATTGCCCCCAACAATCTGGGTCCTCATTTTACCTACCCCGGAAGGATGGAAGGCTGAGTCAACCTTGAGCCGGTGAGATTTGAACACAGTCAGCTAAAGTGGCCTGCAGTACTGCACTCTAACTGCTGCGCCACCTCGGCTCATATATTATCAATGTATTGTATGATACATATTGTTCACATCACATATAATACATACAACTGTTTGAACACAGTTTGTGCTACATATAAATTCATATTATTTGACAAAAATCCATCCCAAGACCACATATCACTCATTATCCTTATACCAGTTATTTTCTTAAATTATAATTTATAATAATTTTCTTTTTCATTTTTAGTAATCATTCTGACAATATGCACCCTATCAAACACAACTATCTTAGTTTTTAATGTAATTTTCTGATCCAGACTCCTCATTTTATCTGTGGTGATAAAAAATACACCCCGCCACATATACACATATATAAGCTGAGGTGCTCCCCACACATATGAACTGCTTAAAGTGCCCTTAAGAAAATTCACAGCCAATTACCCTGTGCGATAACAAGGAGAAAACTCAGTTAGGAGCCTGTGGCCCAGTAAACCATATCTCAAAGATAGCACAGCTAGCATGCTGACCTAGTAGGAAGGCATAAATGGATTTATCTACAATATTCCTGCCTCACATTGTAATTTTTCCACTGTGTCTGCCTTTTCCTTTGTCCTGCCTTTGCAATGTCATGGATCAAAGGTATATACTGTTAAGTCCTGGTTCTGCTTTTGCACATAGCCACTCAGCAAAGTATCAAAGCTGTTCTAGGAGTCCAGTATATAATGTATTATTGCTTGTATGCCAGCAAATAAAATTACATTGTATCTTCAAAGAGATTTGGTTGCTTTAGATGTACCAAGTTTTGGGCACAACACATCATACATTCTGTTGATTATTTGCCACAAATTATTTAGGTTCTCATTTAAAACTTATTTCACTAAGAAATAAGAAGGAAGCTACATCCGGTGTTGTAAAACATGATGTTCTGAAGGTTCCTTATATCTGAAAAGCAGCTAATAAGCAATTTCCAAAAGTAATTAAGAAAGGAAATATATTAACATGTGTCCATAAAAGTACTGACCATAGTTTGGGCAAAGATGATACTCCCAATCTCTTAGAGCTCTAACACAAGGAACAATTGTTTGGAGTATATTTGGGCAATACCAAGTCCTCTCCTTGTCCAAAGAGGAATCCCAAAGAGCCAGTCCATTTGCCTATTCTTTATTCCTCCATAATTTTCAGGTCTGCTCTTAGTGAACATATCTTCAGTTAACCATTTCTTCCCCAGAAGTCCCTCTTGTCAAGGCTGATTCACCCTTTCACCTATATTTTTCTCTTTTGCTCATATTTTGACAATGGAGGAGGGATGATGTCTAGACAATCGAGAACCAAAGTCACTAACGCAGGTGCTCGATGGAGAAGTGGACTATTTCCATAACAAGAAGAAATATTACTATTTAACAATGTGAACACCCAGAGGGTGAGGGAATCTATTGTATAACTAAGCAAGCCTTCAAGTGGGAAAACCAGAGCTGGTTTGGCTTCTCCTGTGCCAATATAAATTTTCAGTAAAGTATTATACTCTTGTAAAATCATGTTTGAGGAGTTTCTTTTTCTGGAAATGCCAACAAGACAGTTGACACCTCTTCCCAAACATCTCTAAACATTCATTTAGAGGAAAAAGTGAATATAATAATTCTGAATTTACTAAAAAATAAATCCACAGTTTAAAATTAATACTACCGGTATCTATTCATTCACCAGCCACTTCAATGGATCCATCATGTTAAGGGTGGCAAATATATTTAAAGATTAAGAATGATTTCTTACTCATCTATTTCCCCCACCCACAAACTCTTTTTTCCCCTTAAAAAATAACCTATGTATATTCTTGACAAACTATAGACTATTGAATATTCAAATGTATTGGCATATATGGCTGTCACAGGAACATTACATAAAATTCATGTAGAGCCAATGTTTGTCACTTTTTCTCTCTATATATAAATCTATTGTTATATACAAGCTTGGAATTCTATAATGAAGGAATAATTTTGTTGTATTCCTCATGCATGTATGGAGAAGGCTAATGAAAAAATATAAATTAGAGGACAAGTAAAAAAAAGAGGTTTATTTCACTATCTGTATCTCTCACAACTAAATTCCATTATATTCAATGAGACTTATTCCTGGGAATTTGTGCAGAATTATAGTCTTAATTATGTGAAATGCTATTGGTTTTCTTTTTAATGTAATTATGACTGCAACCAGCAGCAAAGCTTGCTGAAACAAAAATACTTTAACAGACGTTGTTGCTTGGCAGCGTTTAGAAACAAGTAAACTGTATAAGGGGAAAAGATTCCAATTAGGATTTTGTCATTGGCCAGACAGAGACCTGGCAACCTTTACATTTCTACAAATATTGGCTATTGGACTTTTAAAACTTTCACTATTTGAGAAAATCCACTTCTGTGGGGTTTTTTAACTAATTTTATCCTGAGAATATCCTGGAGAAAAGCTTGGCCAAAAATTCTTCTAGATTAAGCGAGTGCCAATAGCTTTTAGAAAAAGAGTTGAAGTCCATGATTCATAAAAGAGCCGAGGTTGCATACCTCTGGATTAGTCCAATAGCCTATCTAGTTCAATATTTTGCATCTAACAGCAACCAAACAAAAACAGTTTCCTAGAAGTAAATTCTTCTTGGTACATGTTCCCAGACAGAGAATTATTTGTATTTACTAAAAAACTCCAAATTAACTAAAAGTTCTATATGCCATCCAGTCACTTTATTTGAGTTGGCCAGCCCTATAAATCTATGAGATAAATAAATACTGACATTTTTTCTTGATAGTAAACATATTTAATCCTGTAATTATTTAAACTGCCATTTCTGCACTTTTTCATCTGTCAATTATCCATTTTAAGGAGAGGAGACCTGAATTACACACAGTATTCCAAATATTCACAGATTTATAAAAAGTCAATATTTGGGCTATTTTTATTAGGAGTATTGATAATGAGTGCAATCTCACTGAAAAAATGGCTTCTTGGATGCCATTAAAAGCCATAACTAAATCTCTTGATAAAGCAGTTAAGAATTACATAAAAGCAATTTTCTTTAACCTTTGCCAACCTATCTGGTATAGCTACTGATGGCACCGCAGATATACTTGGTAAAAAAAAGGGATTTATAAGACTAATGAGGCATGGTGGCGCAGGCTAATTCTGCTGACTGCCGGCTGCCAGCAGTTCAGCAGTTTGAATCTCACCGACTCAAGGTTGACTCAGCCTTCCATCCTTCTGAGGTCAGTAAAATGAGGACCCAGATTGATGGGGACAATATGCTGACTCTGTAAACTGCTTAGAGAGGATTGTAAAGCACTGTGAAGCACTATGTAAGTCTAAGTGCTATTGATAATAGAAGATGGTGCAATTGCCACCAGCAACTCACATTTGATAAACCACTGCATCATATATCAAGAACATTTATGTACAGAAGTTTTAAAAATGGAGGTCATGCAAATTGTCATCAAAGCTGTAAACTCAATCATTGCCAATTCCAGGAAGACTTTAAAAGTATGGGTGCTGATTATGGGGATATCATTTACTTTTGTGGAGTAAGGTAGCTAAGTCAGGTAAAATATTGAAAAGATCTTAGGATTTGCAAAAATGATTTCCTTTGTAAATTGTGACAAACATCTAAGCCAGTTCAGTAATGTAGAAAATATTTCAAAATTCCAACTAAGAGAAAAGATAATAATCCACCGTATTTTTTTATTTTCAAATTCAGGTGTGGCCTATATCATCCGGCTTCAAGACTAATTCTCATGCAGCAAAGGCTAGAATTAATATGCTCCAAAATTCCTACTTGTCTAAGCATTTACCTGGGAACAGATACTTTCCATTTTAAAATGGATTAGAAAAATAAAAACATTGTTTTATATATTCAGGAAATTGTTTCACCAGCCGCAAGCAAACATGAAGTATCTTAATATAAACTAAACTGAGTTCTTACCTGCCACCGTCCATAACTGAGTAGGAACAATGACACAGGAATGGCAGTGCCTGCCATCGCATGAGTTGAGGGCATGCTGTATTCAGAATTGTAGAAAACCTCCAGCTTCACTACTGGGGGAGAAGCAGGCCTTGGCCAGCGGATAAGATCCTTGGTGCACTGGCCCAAATACATGATCCAAACCCAAATGATGATGAGTCTCCTGCCCAGCCAAGCATCCACATTCCAGAAGGAGGTGGAGAAAAACATCATATAGAAAAGTTCATTGCCAAGTTCTGTGCCAAAGCTGAAGAGGTAATAAAGGAAAAAATTATGGATTCTGAACTTCTGCGATATGGACTCTCCAGTCAGAGAGTTGCGGCGAGGATGGCTTTTTGAGACCCACTTCTTCTGCTTTTCTAGAGATGCTTGCTGCCATTCCACTCCACAGGTGTCCTCAGAAACCATCACATTCTTCATACCATTTGAGTGGCTCTCCTCACGTTTCTCCTCCATGTTAAAAGAACCTGGGGACACGCATCGTCTGCCACTTTCACCCTGGGTCTTGGCAATGGTGCAGTTCCCGTTAGCCAAGGGGTGATCTGAGTCCACCATCTGAGCCGAAGAGACAGACCTCCAGTCCGGGAGTGCTTCTACACCGCATAGTTTTTGGAAACGGGCAACTTTCTCGGCATCCTGCAGGTAACAAATCAAGCGATGCAGCAGAGACATACTAGTTCTGTCACAGGGCAACTCAAGTAGGTAAATCCGAAATCCAGGATGGAAAAAAATACCAAAGCAGGGACAGAGATCTGGAAATACTTCAGGATAATTTTCAGCAGAGACCACAAGCAGCGGAGTTTTTTCAAAGTGAGGAACGGCTTGCAAAATAGGGGGAGCCGCTTCAGCAGATGACACAGGCGTAGGACCTGTGGGCGCAGGGAAGGAACTAGGGCAGGTATGACTTCATAAGGCACGCTGGGAAGGGCACTAAACCTTGCTGGCTGGAGAAGGGGAGAAGCAACGAGAGTAGTAAATAGGGCAGAAGAGGAGGAGCTTCGGGATAGGGAGGAGAAAGCGAAAAGAAACGGGGAAAAAAAAGAAGTGAAGCTAAAATGCAGTCCAAAAAAACCAGGAGAGGAGGACGGCTGGTTAACCCGTCGGGGCGCGAGGCGGCTGAGAACGGGTTCACCTCCAGAAAAAAGGGAAGCCAGCTGACGAGCGAGCAAAGAATAGCTCCGGATGGGAAATCACGATCCTCCGAAAAAGACGGCGTCAATCGGGCATTCAGTCAGTTGATCCAGCGGCCGTTCCGCCTAACATCCCCACGCAGCCTCTCCCGTCTCTCGCTGCTCCGCGCAGCACCAAGTCCGTACAAGTCCCGCCTGCGCCTGTGGGCTGCTCTTACTTAGCTGGGGCGCGCGCACGCGCGATTAATCCCCGTCCGAAGAATCCGCTGCGCGGGAACGCGCACGCCAAATATGAACCGCAGGGCGTGCGCGAGATGGCGGAAGGAAAGAAGAGGCGGGGGAGGGGTGGCGCCCAGGTGTTCCCTCCCGTAACCTGATTATTAATCGAATTTGTATCCCGCCTTTCGGCCGCGGATGACGCTTTTCTAAGGCGTCTAATAAAAGCCCACCAAAATTGATAATCACAATATTAAAGTAAATACAAATCCCATAAATCACACTGTGCAGTTTTATAATTCCAGCCTATACCTGGAGCTGACAACTGTATCAGCTGGGGTGGGGGATGTCTTTGGACCGTAGTATAAATTTAGCAATAGCACTTATATGCTGCTCCATAGTGCTTTACAGCACTCTGGATGGTTTACAACAGTGGTTCTTAACCTTTTTGAACGAATCGCCCCCTTGAGCCAATGAGGAAATTGTCATCGCCCCCAACATAACCTCTCAATCACAAGATAGGAAATAATTCTTCAATTTATGCAAACACTTTTTTTGTTTTTTTTTAAATTGTCATCAGGACATATGATGCAAATAATTTATTTCCAGTCTTTTTCCCATATCAAAACTGTGTGAAGAATTTCAAGACGAAAACTGAAACTAAATTAAGATTCAAGGAAAGTATATATAGTCACACACACTGTAAGAAGGATTAAAAAGACACAAAGAAAATATAATATCGAACTGGAGTGCACACTAAAAAAGTACAATACAAAGAGACATGCGATGTTTCAAAAGAAGCGCTCCCCCCTCCATCACTGTCCATTCTGGCCAATGGCACGCCACTGTATGGGTAGAGCAGGGGTAAGCAACCCAAAACACTCAAAGAGCCACTTGGACCTGTTTCCCACCGAAAACAAAACACTGGGAGCCGCAAAACCCTTCTGACATCTAAAATGAAGATAACACTGCATATATCCGTTTTTATCTTTATTATATATATATATCTTCAGTGTTATCTTCATTTTAGATGTCAAAAGGGTCTCTCTCCCTCCCTCCCTCCCTCCCTCCCTCTGTCCTTCTTTCTGCCCTTGGTCTGCCAGTCCTCTTCCCCCACTCAGTGTGTGTGTGTGTGTATGTGAGAGAGAGAGAGAGAGAGAGGGAGGGAGAGAGAGGACCTTGCGCTTCCTCTCTCTCTCTCCTCTCTCTTTCTCTCTTTTTTTTCTTTCCCCTCTTCCTCTCTCTTTCCTCTCCCTCCCTCCCCCCTTCTTCAGGTGAGGAGAGAGAGAGAGAGAACGAAAGGCAGAGGGCGCCGAATGGGTGGGGAGGGGGGCAGGAGGCAGAAGACCCCCTGTCGCCGCTGGAGGAACCCAGCTCCACGATCACATTGGCAGACCATCCCATGTGCCGCTGGCATCCCTGGGCTCATGTCGGGGCCAAGGGGCATCTACGGAATGCCCTGCCCATTGGCAGCATCACCAAGTCTCCCCTCGCACTGCCGGCGTCCCTGGGCTTAAGTCGCGGGGCATCTGCGGAACGCCCCCATCAGCTGCATCGCCAAACCTCCCGCGCCGCCGGCATCCTCAGTCGGAACTGGGGCAATGATCTGCCTCCCGCCAGGACCAACGCTGGAGCCTCTGGTAGGTCCGTCATGCTGGAGGAGCTGGGGCTGCTCCACACCGCGCAGCGCTCCCAGCAATCTGCGACCCACCAGAGTCACCCAGGGAGTGATGCCCCCGCTGGCCACCGTTCCAGCCGGGACTGCCGCCTGGGGAACAGCAGGAGAAAGAAGGGGAGGAGGAGGAGGATGGCAAGGAAGCCGACGCCGGGCCCCAGGAGGAGGCACTCCCACGGGTCCGGCTGGGGCTCTTCTGCTGCTGGTTGGAAAATGCCTCCCCCCTCCCTTTCTCTCCCCCCCCATCTTCTGCTCACCTCATATTCTTTGCCGACAAAACAGCCGGGACTCCGGCACACCTTCCCAGCCAGCTGGGCCAATCGTCCGGCGGCTGGGGGATTGCAGGGGCTGCTCTCCCTCAGGGCCGCGTCTTGTGGGATGGCTGGCCTGCTCAGCTGAGGCTCTGGTGGGCTGCTCCCAGCGGGGATCTCAGGGCTTCCCCACGCGGTTCCCCGGCCACATGCACCTTGGACGGTTCCAGCCAGGGAAAGGGACTTCCTGGCCGCGCTTCTCCCAGGGGACAGGGCACCCGGGCGCAGGGCCAATCAGGAGCCGCATGAGAGAGAGAGAGGGAGAGAGAGAGAGAGAGAAGCACAAGTGCCTCTCTCTGTCTGTCTCTCTCTGCAAATGGCGAAGAAGGCTCGGAGCCACAGGGGAAGGCTCAAAAATGTCCCCAAAACATCTCACTCCATCGCCCCCATATTGCCCCCTTTTTGTTCCTTTGCCCCGCGTCGCCCCTTTTCGTTCCATCGCCCCCCTGAAAAACGAAATCGCCTCCTGGGGGGGGCAATATCACCCAGGTTAAGAACCACTGGTTTACAATATCAGCATATTCTCAGCAGTCTGGATTCTCACTTTACTGACTGGGAAGGATGGAAGGCTGAATCAACTTGACCTGGTCATGACTGAACTCCAGACTGGGCAGAGTTTTCCTCTATGCTGCACTTTAACCACTGTGCCACCAGGGCTCATTTTAGTAACTTATCACCTCTTAAAGTACAACAAATGATCTCTTTTCTTCCATTTCTCTTTTCTATAAACAACATCTTTAAAGTTCAATCCTGGTCATTACGGGCTACCAGAGACAATAACATACCTATTTTAACCTTGATCAAATAAACCAACTTTATATTCCTTTTACTTTTGATAATCTTGATTTTATATTCCTTCCTTTCCCTTTTAAAAATCTTGTTCTTTAATCCCCTCAAACAACGTCTTAACACTTGATTTCTTCTCATTTTTTCTTTGTCCATTCTCACAAAATTCTTCAAAATTTTAATAAGTCTCTTATAACTCCAGTATGAAAAAGTTATCCAGGTCACTCTTTTTCTTTGTTAAGACATCAGCCAACTTCACTTGTAGATGCAGTGTAACATCTTGTTCTGGATGATTCCCATAGTCTGTAATTTTTAAATCCATTTTAAAATCAGTCTCAGACCTATCTGAAAAAAATTGCTCCTCTTCAATAATCAGTTTTTCTATAATGGCAAATGCTTATAAAAGTATACTGCTCAAAAAAATAAAGGGAACACATCCTATAGGATTTCTTATAGGATGTGTTCCCTTTATTTTTTTGAGCAGCATATATTGTGATTCATGATTATCCTTCAATACATCCAGTATTATTTTGCCTTATTCTGTATTAAGACTACTTTAAGTCTTCTTCACCTTAATTATAATCTTTAGTTCCTTTTGGTTCCCTCTAGTATCAAAGCTTCAAAATACTATTTTACATATTTTAAGTATTCAAAACAGCAGCACGATCCAACAGGAAGGATTCTTATAATTAGTTTCAAAATCTTATTTAAAAAAATAAATACATTTCAAATCCATTTTAGTCCATTTGTAACTTTCCAAAATCAGTGTTTAAGTCACTATTTTGCTGTTTATTCTCCCAAAATATTATCAGTATATTGCCCCCAATAATCTAGATCCTCATTTTACCAATCTCAGAAGGATTAAGCCAGTCAGGCTCGAATTCCTGGAGTGAGCAGTGCATTCTAACCACTGCACCACTACAGCTCTTGATGATCCTACTTTGGATACATTATACAAAGACCCAAATCTTTGGAGGAGGTTCTGATGTGGGGACAGTTGGAAGGAAAGAGAAGAGGACCGGCATAACAAGGTGGATGGACTCAGTTGCACTAGTTATGGTGCTGGGAGACGTGAAAGACCAAATTATGGCCAGCTATTCATAGAGAGAATCTACCCATATATCTTTAAGAGTCAACCTCAACTTGAGGATGTATAATCAAACAATCAATTGCAATATATTTGAAATATTGATTTAATTATGAAGCTTTGTGTACTTCTGGGAGTTAATTTTCCATCTACTAAGCTTATCTAAACACAGCCTGATGAATTTGTAGCTCCAACTCATAAGAACAGTTCTCCTGAAGCAGCAATTCAAGATGAGGTAGTGATTAAATTATGTTATTTATTCCTTCTCAATGGAAAGGGCAGACATTATGGTAAAAGTGGAGCTAATCCCTAAACCTTTGGCAGGGAACTCTATAATGTGGAAACTGCTATCAGTTTGTGGGGAATTGCCTTCCAATCTCTTTATTTGAGGAATATTGATTACTATATGAGATGATGAAATACCTTGGACTATAAAATCTGTTGTATGACATGTGTGAGTTCCGGCACCTTTTTTTTTTTTTTTTTTTTTTAGAAAAAAAGCACTGCATATTACTAATTAGAGGGTCAAAGGGAGAAGTTGAGATAATGGTAATTAAATTTAAAATATTTGAAAATTAGTCAAAAATAAGGATGCTATTTGTTTAATACTTAAAAATTAGACCCCCAAAGGAAAAAGAATTATGAATATGTTTGATTTACTGATTAACTCAAACAATATATATAATGGGCTTTGATTTACTACAGAGACACTGTATTATTAATTAGATGATATAAGATGGGTGGAAATAGATAACTTTTAGGAAATAGAACAAGATTATACCCAAATAGATAAGATGTCTATTTTGAATATTAGATTCTGTTATGAATTAAAGGAAACTTTAGTTACCTAAAACCTGGAAATTATAAATATCAAATGTTAAATTTGAATATTGATGGGAAACTAAAAATTGGGAAAAACCAACAACAGGACATTGATTGAATGTAAAGATTGAATGTAAAAGTAATTAAGATATGTATAAGCTAAAAAATTATCGATAAATGTAATAATGATATTTTTATTTAGTTGATATAATAAGAACTGTATTAGCTTAAATATGAGATAGTAGATATTAAGGGAAAAAAAGAGGAAATATTTGAGGTTGTAGTTTGAGATTTGTACTAAAAAATTTTGTATGTTACTGAACTA